GCTTCAGAGAAACGTAACCCAAGCAAAGCGCCTGGGCCGCGGCTGGCGGTGCAGCGCAGTCCTCGAGGATCCCGAGACTCGACAGGAGTAACTGGAGTCACACCTCGCCAAAAGCTGAATTAATTTACCTCAGTGTTAACGTAAACTCATGTGCAGCATGGGCTGCCGTGGGCAGGAACGACATCTAGACCAGTGTTAGTGGATGGAGAAGCAGACCAGCCTCCAGGTGCTCAGGGTCTTTTTCCAACCGGTGCAATGCCTAATGACAGCCCCAGGCTTTTTGCTGGAGGAATGCACAAGTACCCTCCACACAGGGAAGACGTTTGACACGCGCCTGTGACAGGGGTCGTGTGTGGCAATGCCATCCGTGTGTGCTGCCTCAGTTGTGCCAACCCGGGCAGAGGCTCACACGGGCCCCTCTGCCTGTACACCTGCTCGTTCGTTAGAGAAAGCGTTGGGCTTGGCCTGCTAAGGCTGGCTTACTGTCTGCTAAAGAAGTGCTGGGAGAAAGCTGGGAAAAGGAGCAGCTTTTTGGTAAGAAAATAGGACATAAACCGTGATTCTGCTGGGAATTCTGACAAATCACCCTGAAAACCCTGTGTCTGTAAAAATGTTGAAACTTAACTGTGACTTTGGTACATCACATAACTTAAACATAGATAAAAGGAGAACAGAGTCGGTTTTAAAAAGCAAAACAAAATGCATGCTTCACGGTTTTGTGCCTGCACAGGGTGCTGCCCTGCCTTCGCCCCAGTGGGGTACCCCAGCGGGGTACAAGCTCTGCCCCGGCTCCTGCAGCCCAGCCAAGCCTGCCGCTGCCCACACCACAGGTCCTGCACTGCCAGGAGGGGAGAGCCTCAGCAGCAGAGTCCCTGAAATAAGTAACACGGGCACTTTTTCTTTCTAACTATTACATTAAATAATAATTACAACATGCCCTTCACTATCTGCTTCTCCACAACTAAAATTTGTCTCCACTTGTGTCGGAAAAAATAATGATCCCTGTATTTTAAAAGCCATCTTGTCACAGTATGTGGAGCATTTAGCATGAGTAATTATTTAGCTCCACTATTAAATGTCACATTGGATATGAATGTAAAATATAATTTAGAATGCTTTCCTAGTATTGAATTGCAAAACTGAATTATTTGTCAGGTGTCCCTCAAATGCATGAAAGATCAAATCTAGGTGTGATTTCTGTTCCTGTGTAATGCATCCAAGCCGGATAGGCAGAACAGAAATACCTCAAATATTTGAAGATGCTCTAGCCCGGGCCCTGCCTTCACAGCCTGGGACACTCTGCAATCCAGAGGTTTGGAGATGGGAAAATAAGGCACTGAAGGACATGCGGTGCATACCTATTCCTGTTAATCTTGGCCTTCACTCTCAAGTTCTCTGCCACCCAGATTAGTGGTGAAACATTCAGGTCATTTACATCTAAGTGACCTTCAGGAAATGGCTAAGTAGCTGAGAGCAGCGAAAGCTTTGTTAGGCTGAACACCTTTCCTCACACCTGGCTGAGAGGCCACTTTGCTTTCATTACCTGCAAGATGCAAACTTGATTTCTCTACAGATTTTAACTGAAAAAGAGTAATACAGAAAGCTTTGATGTGGAGACGGGGCCTGCAACGCACACCAGCAATACAATATGGCAGATGCCTCGCTAGTGGAGCCCTGCCACCTAGCAACTGTTCCGAGGGCTTTCTTTAGGGCTGGAGACCAACTGTGGGGGTTTGTGGGAGAGAGTTTTGGGGGTGCAGAGCTGGCCCTGCGCTACATATCTGTGACACAGGCGGTTCCTGAATGAGCGACGAGAACTCTGTCCTCTGGGTAGGAAAAGCACACGGACTTAGAAAACTGTTCAAGTTGCTATGGCTGGCACAAGCAAGGGGGGTGGTTCATTTCCTTGAGAGTATGTTTAACCAAAAAACTCCACCGGGTTTCTACTTGGCAGATGCCAAATCTTGAACTGATACTTTGGAAGTTTGAAAGCTGAGGTGATGATCTAATTTGTTACAAGATGGGAATTTAATTATAAAAGAGGAGAGTACTGTAACAAAGAGAAGGGCTATCATCAGACTTGATGACAAACTGTATTGCAAAGGCTGTCTAACTGATCCTCCCCTAAACATACATGCGAGTACGGAATCGGAGGAGAAGGGGCCAGAGGTAGCCTCATACAGGCCTATAATTCACTCTGGTGCATCAACACATGCCTAACTTTGAGAGTGCAAGTTTCCCAACTCAAGTTCAACAAAATAACTCGCTTATTTAAAGATGGGCACCTGCTTAAGCTCCTGGCTAAACTTTCAGGGAGAAGGACCAGAAAAATATTTTAGATTTTTAATTGTTCTTCTCTCCAGACTTGCAAGAGTTCATGTCACTAAATCAGAAAAAAATAGAGTAGATTAAAAGTGCTCTATTATCTTTTTTTTTTAAATCAAATATTATTTATACTAAGCCTGTTTAGTCAGTAGCAAACAATCAGAAAAACTACAGAAAAAAACATAAGGAACAGCCAACTACATGTACACACACATAAACTTTGGATGTATTAATTCTTCTGCCAGAAGAATCCAGGAAAAAAAAAAATCTTACTAAGAATAAAATTAAGCAAAGTGCAATGAAATTAAAATTGATAGATTTGTATGTCTCAAAAATGAAACAAAACTTCAAATTGCCACACCAACTTCAAACAGCCAAAGCACACAAGGAAAAGCCACAGGCGTAACCTAAAATGCTAGTTCAGTTGTCACTTAGGATTTCACAGCCTTATGCGTTAATTATAAAGAAAATACACACACAGGATTATTTCTAAAATTATTTCTCAACTTTCCACATGAAATTGCCAAGGAATTGGATATAGTTGCAGCATATTACTTAACTCGTAAATCCTAATTATTAATAACTGAGGTAATCAGCTTTTACAAGATTATTCTCTTACACATACTTATTAACTATGATGCAATTACAAGAATAATTTTTGTTTCTGAACAGCCACCTCAGTGTTTCGATTTCATACACAGTAAAAAAGAAATAAAACCCTTACAATAAAATTGCCATCATAAGAAAAGTAAAATCAACTATATAATTTAAGAGAAGAAAGAAATTTAAATGTAGTTATTGCATTTAAATGTAATAACTCATACAAAGCAAGGTCTCAGTATAAAATCACTGAGGTACTTTTCTAGAAGTGAAAAAAACTGAAATGAACTAAGTACTGGCAGGGAAAGCGTGTCCTTCTATAGGGCCCATTACAGACAAAGCACAGTTGCTTGCCAAGTGTAAAACCTGAAACACTGTGCACCTCGTGTTGCGGAGGGAAGAAATCTGCCAGTAAAGCTTTCAGCCATGTCTTCACAGCAATCAGGTTAATCCAGTTAATGACCTCAAACATGTACTAGTGAAATTTTAAGCCAATCCACCATTTCCTAGCTAGTACAAAAGACCTAAAAGCTAGTGTTATGAATTTGCACCAAACCAGAAAGCATTTCTATACCTGCTTGCCACTAAACATTCCTTGATACCCAGAAGACTATGTTTACTGTAACCAGTATGAGACAGGTAGAGATTAGAAGACATGCACAGAGATTTTCAGTGGTGAGTACGGTTATTCCCTGAAAATCTACCAAGGAAAATGGAGGATTATTCATCTTTTCCCCACATCCAAATCAAGAGCATACTTTTCCTCTCTGTGAAATCAGAGAGAAAGCATTAGTGAGACTGTGCCTTTGTTTGTGAATTAAATGCCTGTGCTTCGCAGTCCCAAATGTAGTGCTCATTGTATGCGTCCTGTAGGATAGTTTTTAATAGATGGCAGTGTAATCACTGTCATACTCTACATATTTTAGGTATATTAAATACACCATTTACTTCTCTCCAACTCAGAACAGCAGAATTATATCTTGTCACTCAGATACAAATGAGAGATTCTCTCAAGATAACAAGCCAACGAGTTAACAGTAAGATTAAACATAGCTTTGGAAAGGTTACAGGTTTCAATATATACATTTTTGTAAGATCTTAGTGTAAAAATTAAATAAAAATGTTCATGCAGTAACTTACAGGAAATGTGTAAAAATTCAGACTTGGGACTGTGCTTTCTGGCAAACAACAGAAGAGAAAGAAAAATACTTGGGCCCTTTGTATGTTAAATTTCAAAAACATTTAAAATCTGTCATCAAGCTCAGGGCTGTCTCTCTGGTGCGTGCTGGACTGTAGCTCTTCAACCTTGCAAATACCTAGAGATGTTCAGGAAACACTGTAATTCAGTGTTTTTAAATAAACTGACTGACTCTGTTCGCTGTATCAGTGCTTCTCAATCCATACTTTAATCAGTCCTCTCTATCTCCCAGTCAGTTTTAGGGTGTAAGGAGGTGTGAAGCAAGAACTTGTGCCAGTGGAAACTGACTGCAGCAGAAATAATTCCCGTGCATGTGCTGTGAGTTGCATTATTTGGGAAACTGTCCTTTCCCAAAACCAGGTCCCAAACTAGCCATGCCCCTAAAACGTCAGAACTGTGCAAATGCGCTTCACTGCTGTTTGGGGTTCACAAGTCTTTTGCTGCAGCCAGCCTCCTGCAGTTGGCATTTTCAGCAACATCTGTCCCCTTCTGGGCCTACAAGCAGAGATGAAGGGGATGAAACAGGTCTAAGGGAAGTGCCTAGCTGCTGTTTAATCTGCAATGAAATCGACTGTATGTCACATCTGTATTAACTGGCAGATGTGAAATATTAATATAAATAACATTCTTTTTAAACTCTTCTCTTTTCATGACTTTGGGCAGTCTGTTTACAGTCAGCTGAAAAAGAGCCAACTGTTCTCAGAAGATTAGTGCAAGTCTCTATCTCATAATTAGCATGCTTAAAGGATAAGACTCTCATTGTCTCACAGAAACCCTACCACAACAACAGGAGTGACAGAGGTCACCACAAACTGAAGAAAAGACGAGATGTAAGTGTGATGGAGCCAGGCCACTGGTGAAATACTTCTGTTACTGTTTTCTCCACTCTGGCAGGGACATGAACTGCAAGGGACTGGAGCTTCTTGCCAATTAGAGTAGCAGAATTTTACTGAAGAGGACACTTGTTACTCCAGCAACACAGGCAATCTCAATGCACTTACAGCCATGCCATGTAGAAAGGGTAGAGCCTTTCTAGCTTCTCCCCCCCTCTTTCTTTTCTATACAACTGTAGACTGTGAGAGATTTTACTCTGAATAATGCTCAGCTAAATTTTAACTATAAATCAATCAAAGCCAGCAGAAGACAGGTTCTTTAATTATTTCTATTTTCCTCTTAATTGTTTTTGGTGTTGTTAAAATAACAATAGTAGAAAGCTTTGCAGCATTAATTAAAAGCTTTTAGGGGGAAACAAAATCACATTGTACTGCAGTAATAAAGAACCTGCTAATGCTCATGGAGTATCAAAGTTGAAACAAGATGCTATTTTTACTGTTAAACTGGGATGTAGCTTGGAGCAGAACAGCAGAAAAAGAGTAAGAAAGAATGAGTACCCTGAGAAACACGACTAATGATTGAGGTACTGCTGCCTCTTTGATTCTTGTAATGGAAATTACAAATTTCTTGTCTACACGATCATAAAAATAACCTTATGTTTACTAACATCTAAGCTGATATTACTTGTTACTTTAAATCTAGCTGATATTACTTGAACTTTAACAGCAATATTTCCTGATAATGTCTCTTCATTTCCCGCATCAGAAGTGGGTCCAGAGATCATCTCCTGCTGTGAGAGAAGGAAGCTACCTGGCAACTCCACCATTTGTAGAGGTGCTTGGGAATTTTCCAATGGGAAGTATTTGATCTTTCAGTATCCTAACCAAATTTTGTGTGTGTGTATGTGGTATTTCAAATTTTGATGTGAAAACCATTTCCTGCCTTGCTTGAATTGTATGTCCTTCTTTGCTGTTACTTCTTATTTTCCAACAAAGTTTATATCTACAATACTTTCACTAGTAAAACTCCCATGGACCTCAACGTAGATAATTAGGTCCAGTAGGATTAGGCCTGTCTATTGTTAAAGTAGGTACTTTCTGTAAAAGGTTATCAAACTTTCCAAAAGTTACATCTATTTCTAATGTTTGTTCAGCCAATGTGTAATGAATCTGAATTTTAAAGGAGAATTGTGAAACTGAAAACTGGGTCCCTTCATGTCCAGTTTATTTATATACATTGTTTTTCCAGTTTTAGGATTCCATTTACATGTTTGAAATTCTGACAGTGAATTTCATCTGAATAATTCTAAGAACATCCTTTCTATAGGAGAACAGTTAAGGAAAAGTCTCTGAAAAATGTAGCTATAAACTCTTTTAACTGATTACTATAGTTCATAAGATGTTGCTATTTAGCAGGAAGATAAGGTACTTCAAACATTTCCTAACAAAAGGATTGAAGCATTGCTTGCCATAACTGAAGACATTTTGTGGTTGCTATTAGAAACTAAAGAAAGCTTGGGAGCCTGCAAAATCACGTCTTTGCAGCTAAAGGATGCTATTTTCTACGCCTGCTCTTTCTTTATTCTTTCTTTGTCTGCATGTTGCACAGAAGATGCCTGAACAAGTGACAGGAGGAAGAGAGGATCATTACTGTGGGTATGTCTCCAAAGAGCTGCTTCTTTAATGATAGATAATAATCTATTGGTTTGATTCACCGCTGTCATTCTTTGCAGTCGGAGCAGGAGAGTCATCTGTTCTGTAGCCCCCTTTCAGGCTGTGACTATCCAGCCTCTCCGTGTCGCTGGACTTGGCCAGTCCACCCTGCAGTTTCAAGTGAGACGTGGTTCCACTTGCCACTGCTGATTGCTGAACCTACATACCACATAACTCCACAGGACCGCTCGGAGCTCAGTGCTACAGCCTCTACAGATGGGGTAGCTATTGTAAATGGAGGCTGAGATTTTCAGGTTAGATACCTAAACCCTATTTAATGGCTTACCTAAACTGGGCTGATTTTCAGAAACGCTGAACCTGGTTTAGTTTCAAACAACTGGACAACTGATTAACCCATAGTTATGCACCAGATTTCCCCTTTGCTGCATTAAAATGCTGGAGTTTTATGAATGCCATAGCAACAGAATCAGAAAATGAGGAAATTAGGAGTGTGAGGCATGGAAGCTTGTATCTGTTTTTCTCTAATGAGTTGAAACTCTGAAGTGTGCC